AATTTATTTTTCTTTCACGAGATCTTTATTGCTTCATTTTATAATTTCGAGCTGAGTAAATGTCAATCAAAAATAGCAAAAAAAAAGGAGAGAAAGCGATAGATTACGTGTTGCCAGACATAAATCTTAACATTTGCAGTGAAAATTTGAAAAAAAAATAACAATAATAAAAAGGAAAAACGATAGATTTGTTATAAGTCCTTGTTTGAATTGTTATAAGCCTCGTTAGTAAGTAAATTTACTTCTTATTTATATCTTCTTATGAAGAAGACGCCTTACCACGGAAAAAAATTTTCGTCGCAAATTCTCTTTATCCTTCATTACTAATTTAAAATTTAAAAGAAAGGAAAAATAAGTACAGACACACCTAGAGTAGTAAGTCATGAAAATTCTAGTTGCTGAAAGAAGTACTTTAAAATATTAAAATGCAAGCAAATTATTGGAAGAGAACTTCACCGTGGCATAATCCTAAGTTATGTTCTAATAATTTATTTTCATTTGTATATTTTAAAATTTTCTTTTAAGTATTTGGAACTATGTGGCTTACTTTAGGTTTGTCTTAACTCACTTTTTCTACACTTTAAATTTTGAATTAGTAATGAAGGTGAAAAAGAATTTGCGAGGAAGCTTGTCTTCCGCGATATGGTGTCCTTTTAAGTCACATAATCTGTATTGAAAGCTGTTGCAAACTTGAAAGGAAGATAGAACACATCATAAGGATTGAGAATTTCAGAACAACCTATGGCCGAAAATATTATCGGGCGCCGCCTTATGCCACTTTCCTGCTATGTTCTTGGGAATCAGTACTTTTATTTATTTATATTATATATTACTAGTGGACTGCGCCACCTGCTCGCTAACGCTTGCCAACCCCAGAAAATTGCTACGCAATCTTATATGGTTTGCTTAGCAAACCAAACTCGCTTCACTCACTACTAACTTAAGTACATTGTAAATACACAAAATTGTAAGAATTCAAAACAATCATTCAAATCCATATAACAACTTTTAAAAAAAAAATTGCATCTTTTTTGTAAATACTAAGTCACTAAAATAAATTTGAATTCAAATAAATGGCATGTAATTCGTTAAACCTATTAGAAATGTGCTATAGTATAATTCGTGATATAAATCAAAAATCGTCAAATAAATTTGTAATATATAAATTCGTCAAAATAGCGCTTTCAACAAAATACTAAAATAGAGATCTATCGACAAGGACTACTCAATTCTGCCTAGCTTAAGGTTATTTCAGTTTCCGTTTTTAAAAGCGCTATACGTTGAGCCACTTCAGCTAGATTTGGCATGTGACATTTTTAGCGGCAATCATTGGTCGATTTTCTAGCGTTGCCATTCGGAGAGTTGTAATGAGGCTTTTTTTCGTCGCCGTGTGAGAGAAATATATATATAGATTTGTGTGTTAATTTTATGTTTAATAGTATTTATTTTATCCTTTATTTTATAACATTCTTTGAACAGCTGTCCCAATTTTTGAGTTTATGATTACTAATGTTCAACTACGTAGACTTGTAATTTTGAATCCTATCCAGAAGACCAGAGAACTCCATGATCAATTAGTACTGGGAGAAATTTGCTTTCGTAGGACTTTTTTGATGGAACTAACCCGCATTCACTTTACATAGGAAGGAAAATCACGAAAACATCTCGCGGTTACCCCAACGGCAAAGGGACTCTAGTTTATGATGTCTGTCTACTACTGCGATGTTTTACGTCAGCGATGTGGTCGGTGCGAGCCGAGTGCGGAATTCGTATCGAATTTCGATTGCTGGGATTCAAACCATGATTACCTTATTGGGAGGTGATTGCTCTATCCCCAGAGCCACCACGACGCTAAATAGTAATTATTGTTGAAAACATTGCATTCGACTATGGTAAAAAAAAAGACTTTTTTTATCGTAATATAAAATTTTGGTGACTAACTTGAAAAACTCGGTAAATTGTAATAAAACAACTACTTTTGAGTCTATTTGAATGCAATTTACGATAATAGTTATTAAAAGACATAAACATGGATTTGAGTGGTATTCAGGCCCTGATAACAATTGCCATTTTATACTTCAGATAAAAGCATTAAAAAGTTTTTAAAAAAATAGTTAACTAAATAAAATTATCTAAATTTTCATGTGGCTGACACCTCTACGACTAAAAGCAATTACAGCTTATAAGTTGTACTAAAATCTTTATAATATAATTTTATAAATTTTTTCAAATTTCGAGCGCAACTTTTTGTTTTTTAATCTATCCCTCTAACTTTTCGTTAACTTCATCATAGTACTAAGTATTCGTTCAAAAAATTGACTTTAAAAAAAGCCTTTGTACATAAAACTGAAATTTTGTAAAAAAATGAAAAAAATTTCGTTACGACAATGGATTTCTTAAAGTTGAATTTTGCGGCAAATTAGGGAATTCTGGAAAATTGAAAACGTTTTTACATACAGTATGATTAAGAATGTAATTCAATTCGTTTTTTTTCTCTCTTCAATCTTTTCTATTTGGAAACTATTTTCACCCTTTTATGGTTAGCTTATGACTTTTAAAGGGTAGCACTGTAGGTCCTTACTTCAGGGGAAGTAAACAAAAGAGAGGTGAGATAATCAGTAAAATGACCATAATGTCGAAAATTATTTATTTTTCTTAAATGGCTGAGAGAATTACCATCCTATTAGCAAAGTAATATCTTTCAGCATGAAATGAAGATTGTCTGTCGACTAGCAATATCAAGCTTTATTTAATGGTTAACCATCAAGCATTTAAACAACATGTCTCATTATTAATTGATAGATATTATTGCAACAATAATGCCAAAATTATCTTTCCAGTTATAGCAATTAAATAACTTTTTATATATGAAGTAATGGTTTATTGTTGATCCAACAGCATCAAACACAGATTTATGGTTGATCATAATAGCAGCGAAACAATTCATGAGATTTTACTGGTGAAAGAAAATTAAACATATCATGATGGTTAACCATCATATCAATAAAACAATATTGTTACTTTTAACAGTAAAGCAGCAGTGTTAAAAAAAATAAGCAATCAAACATTGAAACAACATTGTTGAAAATCATAAATACATGTTGGAAATTGTTGGATGGTAGTGTTCATTAAATTTGACTTTGAACCATCTGAAACTACACGAAATCAACATAAACCATGGAAATTTTTTGATGGAATCATCAAAAATTTTGACTTGAGAAATATAGCTCAATACTTTTAACTCTTTTTTTAATTTGCAAAAGAAGGAAATATAATTTTATAATATATCATCAAAACCTTTTAACTATAATTTAATAAATTTTACTTTAATTAATAACTGCTTTCGTTCTGTTATTTTTAGAAGTAGCTGATAACTTCTATGATTACTTATATTTAAATTAGTTTTTAGCAATGGTATTTTACAACGACATGCTTGGTTACATAAGAAAATGCAACAAAACTAAATTCTTCTCTGATGTAATGGACATTGAAAACTCGATTGAGTGTTATTTATTTTTTTTCTTTGACATTTCATTTAAAACCGATTTCAGAAAAAAAATGAAAGATATTTTTTTATAGGTATTGATTTTCCAAACTTAATGTATTTGCTTCTATAGATAATAATGGCATTTTTTGTGCAACTTTTTGTGCATACTTTAAGTTACATTACATTATACTTAAATCTCCCATTTGCGAAAACATCTTTAACATTTTATTTCATACGAATTTACCTTACTTAACGACTTTATAATGCTCTGTCCTTTCAATTTAGGAAAAAAAAATTGTATTTTTTTCTAAAGTCTTATATTCACGGTAAGTTAAGATAGAAATTGTCCGAATAAAACGTTCCATTATGTCATTTTTCACGCATGAGGATTTTCGAAAGAAAAAAAAAACTGTAACCTATAATGAACATCGTATAATAAGCCTATAAAAGAAATTACTTTTAACATTGTTATAAAGGCATTTTTTTTATTAAGTTTTCAAAAACCTTTTTTTTTTATTAAAATGTTTCTTACATTCTTTTCTTCAGCGTTCGGAGAAAAAAGCAGACACCTAAAATGTAAATTTGTAAATTTTAATTGTAAATGTCTATTCTCCGATGGTTGCAGCAGACAAACCTCAATTTTGTCATTGAACATTTTGTGTGCTACTATGTAAGTTTTAATACCAACCTTTTTAAAGTTTTATATCTTAACAATTAGATATCTGTTGCAGATTAATTGTTCAATACATAGGTGCACATTAAAGTTATTGTTGCCCGAATTTTTAATATGCAATTAAATATTTTTAAAAATCTACTTCTTATTTTAATTTGTAATTCAATACTTTTGTTTTGTGCAACTTGGTAAAAATTCCGAATAAATCCCTTGCCCGAATATTTAACCTTCCTTCAAACATGAAAGAGTCCTACATAAAATTTTGATAACGTTGCGACCCGCCATCTGATTTATGTTTTTAATTGTGGACCCCGGCCTCATGTAAGTTGGAAACCCCTGTTCTAAAATAATATTTCGAACTTAATTGCCGTGTTTCTCTTTATCAGGAAAAAGATAAAAAAAAGGGCTACTAGCCTCCGAAATTTTGAGAGGTATCATTAAAAATTGAATTGTACCAAAAAACAAAGACTGATAAAAAAAAAATTTCCGAATTAGGAATTGAAATTTATAGCAATGGTGGAAAATTCGTATTATTTGACACTCTTGTTTAGTAAATAAATAGCGTCAATAATTATGCAAATTTCATCAATCTACAGTTCGGTCAACGAGTACTTATTCTTTTCCTTATATCTACGTATGTCACGCTTTACCGTCACGTACTCGCTTGTCATCTTGCGTCACATGATCGGTGTCATCGGATACGCATTTACTATAAATCACATTATAGGAATATGATTGAGACTTCGTGATTCCATTTGTGCGAGCGTCGTGATCATTTTTCCGTAAAATGAAAATTTTTCGTCAAATCTCAAAACAAACGGTTAATAATATCTTTTTCAGGGAAAAAAGATTTAAAGGACATCTTCCATCAAAAAAGTAACTATTGTGTTAAGGCAACGGACAACACTGAGAAAACGAGCCGACAGAATATTTTATGGCGCCTTGGCGGTCAAATCCTGGCGAAATTATTCTTGATACAAAATGATGCCATAGAACAATGTGGAAAGGTACTTTGATACGAACATTTTGGTAATCATTTAAGAGTAGATAAATTGTCTATGCTTAGACAATGGCGAATAGATGTGTATGATTTTTTTTAATGTATACACTATTTCAGGTACTGTTCTTCTGTTGCCAATTGCCCTTTTGTTGAATCATTCATTTTGAGCTGCAATGTGAGAGACGGGCTTGATTGATTTATATCGCCACCATGGTCGCCAGCTTTGTGAATTTTCCGAAACTGTTATAACCAATTATTTATCTGTGTTTAACTGTGGACGTCGTCGCTTGTAAATCATTTTCATATTTTTATTCATCCAGTTGGAAAAAAATCTTCTAAATATTCAATTCACTGTTTTCTTTGTTTCAAAGAATACTCGAATTAGATTTCAAAATGTAGGTGGACACTTTTAAGATTTTTTTTTTATTCTTTAGAGATGTCGATTGTTAATGAAAACAAAATATTTTTTTTCTAATCACCTATAGTAAATTACGATTTAATTTATATATTTTTACCAGATTTTAAATTTTTTCTGTTAAAATATGATGCATATTTATATGCTTAAAATTCAGCATTTATCTTTTTAAAGTGATGGAAAAATATGTTTGCTTATGAGTTGTTCACAATTTGTTCATACATTTTTTCTGATAAATTTTCCATATAGATTTTCGTTTTTTATGTTTATAATAAAATTTATCAAAATGGAGAATTAAAAGAAAAAATTAAACGAGATCCGCTTTTTTTTATTTCTGTACTTTATTTTCTGTGTTTAATTTTTTATTTACTCGAGTAAATAAAAACGGGACAGTAGTAATTAATTCGTAGGGTGTCTGCTCTTTAATTTACAATATCAACTAAAATATTTTTTTTTAAATTGAATATTTAATACATATATATCAGTATATTATTATTATATTAAATATATATTAGTAAATAAAAATATGACAGTAGTAATGAAAGTGTAGAGTGTTTACTCTTCAGTTTATTACATCAACTAGGAGTTTTTTAATAAATATTTTTATAAGGGTTTTTAATGGGACTAGAAAAAAAAAAGAAACTTTAGAAAATGAGTTGTTGTGACGTCACAGTATAAAAAGGCTAGTTGGTTGATACAGAAGAGTTGAACAATTTATGCTCTGCGTTTATAGTTTTGTGAATCTGTCATATTTTTAATTAATTTCTGTACAATTATATTTATAGCGTGAACGATTAAAATAATTAACTATGATTTATAGTTTTAAAGTTAGTTTTTTTTTATTATCTTCATTTCAAATAAAATTATTGAATAAAGATAGAATTGTGCGAAGTCATTATTGTTTAAGATTTTTTTTCATCATGCAGGGAATTTGCATTAGAAACATAAAATTTTCCAATTAGTTCCAAATCTTTTATCTTAAATCTTACTTCTACAGTTCGTAAAGAGAGTTTCTCGTATTTTTTTTATTTACCCCGTTCATTTCATTCTGTCATGTTATAAATTCAACAAAGAAAGAAAATAAAAAATCGGCATTAATTTATCAAAAAGCGCAAATGCAATATTTAACGCATTTTAGCAGTCATTCTTCTATTAGTTATAAAGTAATAATGGTGCATATCACCCTACACAAATATGCATTTTATTTCTTAACATAGAAATAAATTTATCAAGAAAAATGGTGAAATATAAAATATTTCAATTAAGTGCAATTTACATTACAAAATGTATTTTGTCTTAATTGACTAAAAAAAAAACAACAACAAATAAACAAACAATTTCAGTGAACTTCATAAGTACAGTCCGCAAAAAAAAAAACGAATCACCCTGAATAACTTTCGTTCTAATGATCGGATTTTCACGAACTAAGTGTCAATCTTAATGGTTCCTGGGGGTGACNTAGTAATGAAAGTGTAGAATGTTTACTCTTTAATTTATTACATCAACTAGGAGTTTTTAATAAATATTTTTATAAGGTTTTTTAATGGGACAAGATAAAAAAAAAAGAAACTTTAGAAAATGCGTTGTTGTGACGTCACAATATAAAAAGGTTAGTTGGTTGATAAGGAGAGTTGAACAATTTATACTCTGCGGTTATAATTTTGCGAATCTGTCATATTTTTTATTAATTTCCATACAATTATATTTATAGCGTGAACGATTAAAAAAATCAACTATGATTTATAGTTTTAAAGTTAGGTTTTTTTTTATTATCTTCATTTCAATTAAAATTATTGAGTAAATATAGAATTGTGCGAAGTCATTATTGTTGAAGATTTTTTTTCATGCAGGGAATTCACACACAAACATAAATTTTTCTAATTAATTCCAAATCTTTTACCTTAAATAATAATTCTACAGTTCGTAAGGAGATTTTCTCATATTTTTTTATTTACTCTGTTCGTTTCATTCTGTCATTTAATAAATTCGACAAACAAAGAAAATAAAAAATCGGCAATAATTTATCAAAAAGCACAAATGCAATATTTAACGCATTTTAGCATTCATTCTTCTATTAGTTTTAAAGTTATAATGGTACATATCACCCTACAGAAATATGCATCCCATTTCTTATTATAAAAATAAATTTAACAAGAAAAATTGTGAAATATAAAATATTCCAGTTAAGTGCAATTTACGTTACAAAATGTATTTTTGTCTTAATTTACTAAAATAAAAGAAATAACCCAAACAATTTCAGCAAACTTCAGAAATACAATTAAAATTAATAAATAAAAATTAATAAATAAAAATTAATAAATAAAAATAATGTACCCTAAGTTAACTAGTAGTTCAGTTATCCATCGCAACGAGGGACTGAACTTACTTAGACGAGAATGTTGCCAATTTGCCCAACTTTACCAAAGTCAAAATTTTTTATGGTTTTCCATTGATGGACCAACATATAACCTTGATGATAGCCATCAATAATTCTATTATGAACCATTATATTTTTGATGGTAGCCAATATAAGTAACCATCACTCCAATGTAGGAATTTGGACTGATTTATGGTGGTCCAACATAAGAATAGGAACTTGTTTTGATGGTTTGTTCAAGTTGATCAGAAATTTCTATCATAGTTTCTTAAAAATCAAATGTTAGAACGATCATGAACTACCATCACCCCAATGTAGGAATTCAGACTGATTGGCCAACATAAAAAAAAAAATACAAATTGTTTTGATGGTATATTTCGGCTGAACCAGCAATGTTACCCATAAAATATCATGGAAATGTATTGTTCTAACCATCATAAACCATCACGGATCATCATGAATTGTTGGTTCATGAGAATCAAACTTCTCTTGATGATTAACCATTATTGTATTAAAGTAGCATTTTCCAACATTGAATGATGAAAGTTTATTAGCATATCAAAAACCATGAACGCAAAATGTAAAATTCTGGATGATTATGACCTTCAAATGATGTTGGACCATCATGAATCGCACTAAAACCAACATAAACCATCAAAATATTTTGATGGAACCATCAAGAATTTTAACTTGGTTAAAGAAAAAATTTCACCTTTTGCTTAATTAAGCACTAGAAAGAAAATTATATGTATTTATCATTAAAAAATAGTTCATGACTTTGTTAAAACAACTTTCCTCTCTTTAAATAATTGAAAATTGTTTGCTAAAGAAATGCAATTTTATAATAATTATGTACCGTCATGTGGGGTTACTTTGTGCAGGATTTCGCAGTTTTTGAACTTTGACATGTAAAAAAACTATGTTAATTCAAACTTTAGTAAAATTTATCGATATTATATTCATAACTGGACTCAGACGAGTGAATTTGATAAATATTGGCATTATTTGTATGTAATATTTACGAGTAATAAGTCAAAACATACCTTGCACAAAGTAGCCCCCAAATGGGGCTACTTTGTGCAGCGATAGGAATTCAGTTTAATAATCATGTTTTTAGTAAAATATTGATATAAAATTGTTANAGCTATAATAAGTTATGTTAATTTAATTTTAGTATGAAATCCTCGAATAAATATAGCAAAAACAGCATAATCTATATAATATCAGATAAAAAGTTCATGTATTTAAATTCTAAAAACTTAGAAAATCATAAATAATTTATAAATCGATACAAATTTTATTTTCAAAGGGGATTAAAATAATTTTTTTTTTTTTGCTTTTTGGACAGGAATCAGCTTAAAAATTGTCTATTGCCTAGAAACTTCGAGACATTTACTGTTAACAATTAATTAATCCTCTCCCAGCAATCACAAACATTATTTCAATTTTTTTTACAGTCAGAGCGTGGTTGCCTAGCAACCTAGTAAAATGAAGCATTCCTCTTTTGAATTAGTCAATGGGTTATCTTAAAATATTAATTTGCACAGGCGACTTTTTTTGGCGGTTTTCTGGACTATCGCCAAATATATAAACCTTTATTGCTGCCCAATTATTTATCACTCAATTTTTTTAAAATTTTGTCTACTTTAAAATTTTGTCTAATTCAAGTGTCTAGATTCCAAATATGTAAAAAAAAATATATGTTTATTCAGAGAAAGTACGTTTTTGTGTCTGATTTCGTAACTTAATTAATAGTTAGCACTAATTAATTAACATATTTGAAGCCACCCCCAGGAACCATTAAGATTGACACTTAGTTCGTGAAAATCCGATCATTAGAACGAAAGTTATTCAGGGTGATTCGTTTTTTTTTTGCGGACTGTACAATTAAAAATAATAAATAAAAGTAATATACTCTAAGTTAACTAGTAGTTCAGTTTTCTATCGTAGCGAGGCACTGCACTCACTTAGACGAGAATGTTGCCAGTTTACCCAACTTTGCCAAAGTCAAAATATTTGATGGTTTTCCGTTGATGGACCAACATAATCTTGATGAAAGCCATCAATAATTCTATTATGAACCATTCAATTTTTGATGGTAGCCAATATAAGTAACCATCACTTCAATGTAGGAATTCGGACGGATTTATGATGGTCCAACATAAGAATAGCAATTTGTTTTGATGCTTTGTTCATGTAGAACCATCAGAAATTTCCATCATAGTTTCCTAGAAATCAAATGTTTTCTAAGAAATCAAACCACCTTCACCCCAATGTAGGAATTTGAACTGATTTTTGATGAGTAAATATTAAGAAAAATCAAATTGTTTTGATGGTATATTCCTACTGAACCATTAATAATTCCCAAGGAAATATATTTCAGAATCAATCATGGATAACAATCATGGACCATCACGGATCATCATGGATTGTTGGTTCATGAGAATCAAACTTCTCTTGATGGTTAATCATCATAGTATTAAAGTAGCATTTCTCATCATGGAATGATGGAAGTTTATTAGAATATCAAAAACTGGCAAATGTTGGATGATGGTAACTATCAAATGATATTGGATCATCATTAATTTTTCTGAAACCAACATAAACCATCAAAATGTTTCGATGGGACCATCAAAAAGTTTGATTTGGGTAAAGGAAAATG